GCCTTCCAAGTAGCTGGAACTACAGGCGCGCGCTGCCACACCTGGCTAATTTTTTGATTTGTTGTAGAGATGAGGTCTCACCAAGTTGCCCAGGCGGGTCTCGAACCCACGGGCTCGAGCAATTCACTCACCTCAGCCTCCCAAGGCGCGGGATTACAGGCTGAGCCACTGAGCCCGGCTTCTTTTTTTTTTCAGAGTTGGAGTTCTCACTGTATTGCCCAGACTGGTCTCAAACTCCTGGCCTAAAGTGATCCTCCCAGCTCAGCCTCCTGAGATGCTGGGATTACAGGTGTGATCTACTCTGACCAGCTGCCATAAATCTTAATATGAAATGTAGTTCTTCCTATGGATCTCAGTAAAAAATAAAATCCGAAAGTTCAGAGAACAGACTAGAGAAAAATACAAAACTCTATTGTTACATAGTAACTATATGAGAAAAATGGAGTCTGTCAGGCTTCCTCGCCTGGCTGGAACAAGGTAGTGCTCCCTTATAACTAAGCAAGCTAATGTAACCCATTAAATATAACCATGAGGTCATGGTCTGGCTGCAAGTCACTATTATATAAGTCTTCTTAAACACAGACCTAGAAAGACCACAGTGTGGACACCTTTCCCACTGTGGTCACTGACCACCACAATTAAAGTTTGCTATAAACATTCTTTGGGCTCCTCAACTTTTATTTTTTGGCCTGTCCGAATCTGGTGTAAACCTGCCTGGAGTAAAGCTCCTCCAAAACACTCTAGCAGTTCAAAATTGTAACCTGAAAAAAAGGTGTAGCAGGGAGTTGCAATTGAATGGAGGAATTACTCTGGAGGTGGAAAGAACTGACATCAATTGTTGATGAATTAAATGTGGCAAAGAGGTAGAGGTCAAGGCTGATTTCCAATTGGGTAACTAGATATATGGCGTTGCCAGCCCCTAAAAACAGGAACACAGAAAGAAAAACAGGTTTCTGTTTTTGGAGGTTCACTTGCCCAAGTTTAGTATAGGAAGTGCATTAGTATAGGAAGTGCATTAGTTTCCTATTTTTGCTGTAAAAAAATGCCACTAACTTTGTGGCTTAAAACAACAAAAATGTATGACCCTGTGGTTCTGGAGGTATCATAAATCCAAAACGGGTATCACTGGGCCAGAATCAAGGTGTCAGCAAGGCTGTGTTCCTTTCAGAGGCTCTAGGAGGGACTCTGCTTCCTTGCCTTTTTCACCTCCTAGAGCCCATCCATATCCCTTGGCTCATGGTCCCATCTCTCCACCTTCAAAGCCAGCAGTTTCCGACCAAGTCCTCCTCATGCCGCCATCTTTCTGTTTTCTCTTTCCTGCCTCCTCCTTCTACTTGTGATTATTGGACCCATCTGGGTTATTCAAAACAATCTATCTTAAAGTCAGTTGATTAGCAAACTTAATTCCGTCTTACAACCTTACTACCCCTTCACTACGTAACCTAACATATTCACAGTTTCCAGGTGTTAACACATAGACATT